TCTGGGTGTTTCTCGTCTGTATCAAATGGTGTAAGGTAGAAGCACTGAAATGGTTACCCAGAATGCTCCCTGACTTAATGGGGTATTGCACACCATCCTATTCTACCTGTAATTTCCACCCCAATTTCTATGTTATATCAATTTCTACTCCATATAGTTTTTCACATTGGGGCCTATTTTCTCCCTGCCCTTGTTATGAGTTTTATCCAGATTTTGCTTCCCTTACATTGGGCTGCTGAAAGGATTCACCCTTCACCCTTTCCCCTTATCCTACCCCATTTTGAGCCCCATGTTTCAATATACCGGTTCTTATCCTCAGATGTGTAGGGCAACATGGAGTCAATGCCTGTCTATGATGAAACCACATTGGAACTCAAGTAATTTCCCTCTTCATTTAGTTAATACACAAGAAAATAACAAGCTATCGTGCACCCTGGTAGTATGGCTTCCAGCAGGGCTTTGTTTTCCTCACATGGTGACTAGTTCCTTCAGCCTCCCTGAGTCTACTCTTTGGAGAAGCATCTAATCCTTTCTGCTGCTTATTTCACAACATTGTCCTGTTCTCTCATTGTCTCAGAATAAGGCTTCCCAAAGAATAGTACCTAGAGGACTTATTTCAAAGTAAGGGCCCTATTCTTTGGGATGGTTTCTATAGAACTACCTGTACCCTTGATTACTTTTTAGGATCCAGAGATCAGAGAGATGAAAGATGGTACATGGGTATATGGGTAGAGAGTTGGACTAATGAATTGATAGACAGACAGTATGTCGACGTAAATATATATATATATATATATATATATATATATATATATATATATATATATATGTATATACATATATACAATATATACATAGGTATGTAGGTATATAGACAGCTATAGATATATTACAGAAAGTATAAATGATAAAAGATAGATGATAGGTAGATAGATATATGATAGATGAATGGATGGATAGATAGATAGATGATAGATAGATAGATAGATAGATAGATAGATAGATAGATAGATAGATAATGTGTATGAGTTGATGAATATATAGTTAGCTCAACAGGTACATAGACATATATAGATAAATAATAGAAGGTGTATATATAAATAGATTATTAATAGACAGACAGGTAGAGAGGGGGGATAAGTTCATAGATATTTATTGATAGATACACAGCCATCTTGGTCTGAATGTTGGGAAGTCTAGCATTTGTAGGTGGTCCTGGCACTGGTAGATTTCTAGGTGGTTTGAGAGAGGAGGAAATAAAATTCAGTTCATGTTAAAGTTAGTGCATTTCTAGCTGTGTTGCTCAAACACTGTTTATTGATGATAGTCCTGAGTGTGACTTTCCTCTGCTCTTTGAGATCACCATGGAAGCTGTCAGGCCTATGACCCACATAGGAGAGGGTCAAGCAAGAGGTTTTCATCAAAATCAAGATGATCAAGCCATCCGCTCCTTGGATGAGGTGTGTTCCATTTACTGGCCTCTAACATCCTCATACCTTCTCTCCCATAATACAGTACAGTAAGTCCAGTAAGCAGATTCTGCCTTACACTGCACTGAATGCAGACAGGTCTGAGAATGAAAATTTAGAATACCGTCAGTCTGGAGCAGGATGGTGATGGTGTCTAGTACTGGATACATGCTCACTGCAGTTAAGCATTCTGTGAATATCTTGTGTTGACTATTGCAGTGAGCATTTACTTCAGACCTGCTCACATTATGTGAAATTTTTACCTAGAGGTCCTGAGTTGGGAAACAAAGAGAGGCACTGCTCCAGAAGGTTTTATGTTGTTCACTCAAAGAAAAAGATATTTGCTGAGCAACTTGAAACATGGCTTTCAATTTTTTTAAAGTAGAATAGTAAAGAAGAAGTGGATTTTGATTGAAAAGAGTTGGAGGAGTTACTATGACAAAGTACCTTAATAATAGTAACAACAACAACAACAATAATAATAGAGAGAATTTAGAAGTAGGAGACAAGCATCCGAGATTGATTGTAATTCATCAGTCTTTCAAGTTTGCACATGGCTCAGATCTCTCTCAACCTCAGTCCGTCAGTCAGTAAGATGGGGTCAACTCTATCACACAGTAGGTTGTGTTAGGGAACCAATACAAACTCACAAATAATCTGATAAAAAGCATGTAGTACTTATGAATACAGACATTTCCAAGAGTCAATTAAACTCTCAAAAATACTATTTTTCACTCATGTTTTCAAGAGAAGAAGAAACACACAAATCACAGACCCTCATTCTTCATGCAATGCATACAGTCTAACCCCAACAAGGAAACTAAGGCCAGTGATGGTAAATCAGCAAGATATGGCCACAGATGAGACGCAACTGAACTGGGATTTAAAGCCAAGGATGCCTGTCTCCTTTCTGCTGATCCTATTAGTCTCCCTGTCTTTTTTCCCCAACCCATACACTTTTTCTTTTAGCCACAAAATATGAAAGACATTTATGTTCGAAACTAACTCATCCTGATAATTCCCAATTAAGATGTTGTCATCTAGCATCTGGCTCCATTTCCTTTTATGAAATATTGTAAACATAATTTGAGTATAGCTTAAATGAAGTGTCCAAATGGGATAAAAACAGGTCACCTGGGAAATTAGATTTTATAGATTACAAGAATTGAATGCCTAAGTTCTACTTAATGGGCATAATTTTTAAAAAAAAAATTCTTTGGAAACGATTGGTCTATCAGTTTCATCGTTTTTTCTATATAAGTCTACAGTGTGGTGCAATTAAATTCTAAATAAATAATAGAAACTTCATGGTATGCAGTAGCAAAGATTCTGTTAATAGACTTGAGATTCACAAGAAAAACCTGGAGTCTTTGACTCAAGTTCCCCATTTACCTTTTTAAAAAATTTCCATATAAAAGATTTTTGGAGAAAACTGAATCAGATAAATTTTTAGTTCTAAGACTCTTTGGGGAAATGATTTCACATATATTTTATATGGTATTCCAGAGATACAAGTGTGTGTGTGTGTGTGTGTGTGTGTGTGTGTGTGTGTGTGTGTGTGTGACAAAGAGAGATGCGGTAAATGTGTATGTGACAGAGATGGGGAGAGGAAGAGGGAGAGATAAACCAGGTGTGAGAAAAGAGAGAGGTAGGAAAGGGAGAAGGAAAATATGAAGAATAGGGAGTAGAAGAGGAAGGAAAGGGAGAAGGCAGGAGAAAACAAGGGAAAGAGAATGAGGAGAGACAAAGGGGGAGAAGGACAGATGGAGAGGAAGGGAGAAGGAAAGAGAGGGAGAGAAAGAAAGAGAAAGGCGGACAGCCAAAAGTTAATGCTGGGTGTCTTCTTTAATTTCTCTGTGCCTTCATTTTTTGAGACAGGGTCTCTCCTTAAACCTGGAGCTGACTCACTGGTTCAGCTCATCTGGCTGTGACAAACAGTCCTCAGGTTTCCTCCTCTTTCTGCCTCCTGAGTTCTGAGATTATAGACATTTGCTGCCATAACTGACACCTTGTATAGGTATCAGAGATCCAAACTCAGACTCTCACACTTGCATAGTGAGCACTTCTTCCTAACCCCCTGAAATAAAGTCTCGTAAGGAGACAAGCCATAACTATTAATTGATTATTGCCCAGTTGGACAAAAGAAATTGTTATTACATTTTTAGACGAATTTTTTCAAAATGAGGATGGAGGTAGGATAGGTTAAAGATTCGAGGAGAGTGTGGTAAAGTTGCTTGTTGCCATTGCTTTAAACACTGTAGGAAAGCATTCTTTTGAGCATAGATTTTTGTGCTGACAGGAGACTGGACCATCTTATCCCTTTAGCCTGCCCAGGTGATGGTTAAGCCCACATACTGTCAAGTTCCATAATCTTAGATCCAGTCCCAACACTCACACCTCCTGATTTTGCAAGATTAGGCAAGTTCCTTGGTCTCTTTAAGGCTCAGTTTTCTCATTGGTGAATTATTGATAATAACTGCTTCATAGACTGGTCAGGATGATTCAGCATAAATATCAATAAATACCAATACACACATCAGTGTGCTTAATGCCATCAGTATTGTTTGGAGTTTGTATCACCTTCTCAAGGCATTCCTTAGACTCTCCTTTGGCCTTATTAAAAAACAAAAAACAACAACAACAACAAAAAAAACCTGTCCCTTCATTACACAACGGCTTAATAGCGTCGTGAAAAAGACACATATGCCTATTTAGATAGAATATCAAATTGTTTTCCTTTAAGAGGCATAACGATGTCCATAAAAATAAAAATCTATAAAAACAAGACTTCTAGTAAATAATCACGAGCTTAGACATATTTTCAGAAGTAACACTAATTCGTACTCATCAAAGGAGAACATATTGATTTGTGTATTTCAAGCAGTGCCCTTACGCATGCTGGGCCTGTGGTCGCAGCATCCTCCCCTGGGGAAGGTAGCTTCTTTAACTGCATTGAATGGTGATTCTATTTGTAGCCATTCTTGCAGACAGCACACCCCCTCCTTCCTGTGATGATTATTTAATCCTCAAATTACATTGTCTTCTTGAAGCTAAGAAAAATATACCTCCAGCCCCTCCAGACCCAGGTTGGTTCTCAATCTTTCTAATGCTGCAACCTTTTAATACGGCTCCTCATGTTTTGATCAGCAACCAAATAATTATTTTTGTTGCTACTTCATTATTGTGATTTTGCTACTGTTGTGAATCATACCTGATATGTGACCCCCCCAATGGGATCATAACCCACAGGTTGAGAACCATTGCTTTAATGACTATATTACATATTAAGTCTTTCAAAAATCATGGAATCTGTTTGCTGCAACCCAAAGACTACAGAAGAATTTCAACACTAGAGATTCTTACACTGTAGCTTGGGCCACATGTGGATAAAAACAGAAAGTCAGAACGCCAGACTCATTTGAACTCCAGGGGCATGCTTGCTCTCCTCCCAACCCCCAAGACGTCTTCTGACTATAAGCAAAAGCACCATTTTTACTTCAGTAGAACAAAGTCCAGAAAAAGATGACTTACCTTCTTTTAACCAAGGAATGTTATTTTTGTCATTTTCAAAATGCTCGGTGCTTCTTACTTTTATCTTTTCCAACTCAATTTCTGACATCTGAGGGGGAAGCAGAAATATATATATATATATATATATATATATATATGCATGGAGATCACAAATTGTGATAATAGTTTTATGTGTGGAGACTCTCACAATATTATGGAATTTTTTCCTGTCTGAGGTGTTGGGAGCTCTGTCTACTGCAGCCTTACCTCTGATCCACTTGCGTCATTTTAAAATGCCAACACCAACAACTGAACTTTGCATGGCATAGTACTTCAATTGCTCAACAACAAAGCCTGCTGTAAGATCTTAGACCTTAGAACTTAAGTGAATAACAGATTTCTAACTAGACTCAGATTTGTCACAAATAAACAAACATTTTGTTACTGTTTAGTTTCTTTTAATGCCATATACATAAGTGTGCTAAAAATCAAAATACAAAGATATAAAGAGCAATCAAACATAATAAGACCTTTTCAGGAATTTTATTGACTAGCATAAGAACCTTATTATCTAAGCAAGCTAATGTGAGCCCCTGACGCTGTCCAAGAGGCCTTTCATACACCTTTAGAGCAGAACACTTGGCTTTTAGTGCTTTCTTGCTATGCAGACTCTCTTCAGTTCAGCACTATGGAGTTCTTACCTGTGTGTCTCAAAAGGAGGAAGCCGGAGGTGTGGGACTGGGCTGTGGCGAACTTGCAGCAGCCTCCCTTGTCTCTGGGTGTCCAGCATTCCTCTACTCTGGCAGAAATGAGCAGAGAGGCAAACACGCTCCCTCCCTGGGTGGTGCTAGATTTGTATGGCTGCCAGAAGCATCCAACTTGCGGCTGAGAGTTGTTGGTTTTTTTTTTTAAGGTAATATAAAGCCTGTGGTTTAAAACAATAAAACCTCCTCCAAGCTAACACTTATTTAAAATGACACTCTACCAAATAGGCTTAGAACAATGAATTCTTTCAAATGGACAGAGTGACTCCCATTCTCATCCTTTCTGACCCAGCATTCGTGACTTAGTATTAATATTAAAAGATGCCAAAAGAACATGGCGATTATACACAAACTACTTGGATTAAAAGGGAGATCTCTAAAGCTGAGTTCCCTAAATCCCCATTCTCTGTCTGCCTTTTTAAAAAACATTTTTTCTTTTCTAATGTTTTATAAGCAGTAAGAAAAAGAATTTTTTAATTTATCATTTGTAGATATTCTAAGAAGGATTCAGAATGACATTCCAAAGAGCATTAGTCATTATATTCTTAGGTGAGGACAACACTGTTTTTAATGAAAGATAAAATAAGGACAACACTGTTTTTAATGAAAGATAAAATCCTAAGCATGTATACCCTTGAGTATACATGATAAATAAATCATCCTTTCTAAAAGATGACACTTTTTTTTTCCTTTGTGGCAGTATTTGGTTTGTATCTTGAGGTGGTTGACCTCCTTTGATATGTTTGCCTGACACAGATGTTGTCTGATGATATAGCAGTCATTTCTTCCACCATCCAGACTTTATTTCTTCTTCTACTCTGCTCTCAGTCTTCTCATCTTTAAAACTATCCCGATCAGGCAATTTTCCCACAAATGCCACCTTTGGTTCTTTCCATTATGAGTAAGATAAATTTCAGAATGCTTAGATAGCCCAAGAAGACCTTGAAAGGTCAGATTTCTCTCCATGATTTTCTACCCAAGGTCCTGATTCATTAGAAAGGCCAAACAGTATCTTAACTAAATTTGTGGTGACTGGTTTGTCATTAACACTCATAAAAACATATTTCTTCACAAGCTTCTCCCACTTCTCCCTTGAAGAAATTTTGGTATCTTTACATCTGGAAGTGACTATTCCTTTGCCTGATTATACTTAAAATTCTTGTCGTAATTGGTCTTTATTTTAGCCTGAGACCCCTGTCCTGTCTTCCCAACAATGTTATGAGCTCTCATAGGATCAACTTCTCAGTATTTTCTACCTCTTGCTTGATACTTGGCCAGCCCAACCACAAATTAATGATTGTTAGATGAATAAAAATATCATATCAAAAAACTGATGATAGTATTTTCCTTTGTTCCATAGTTACAGAATATGTGATATTATTTTGTTTATATTAATTTTCCAATAGGTTAGACCATTGTCCCTAATAGAATCACACCATCCATTTGTCCTGTTATTGGGACCAGAAAGACATTTAGTAAATAACAAACAGAAATTTTAGAGCAAGAGCAGTATAGTGAGTGAAGGAATACAGGGGAAAATATCCACACAGAGGCAATGGAGGTCTATGATGGGAGAAATTGCCTATAAAATCACTATGCATACAGTTCTTTCTGGAAATTTTCAGTTCTGCTTTAATATCAGACTACATTATTAGACATATTCTTCAATTTAAAAGATATTTATTTAATTTGTCATAGAGGATTTGGGTCTCCATTAGGTTGTATTTGGGTCTATAGTAAGTTGTACATCCTCTGGAAATCAGAGAATCATGGAAACCCATGTGGGCACTGTTATGATGAATCTTGATTGTCAACTTGAGTACTTCTGGAATCAACTAAAATCCAAGCAGCTGGGCACACCTCAGAGAGATTTTCTTGATTTGATCATTTAAGGTGGGACAAGCCAACCTAAATCTGGCAACTTCTTCTCGTGGCAACCCACGTAAATGGACATGGAAATGGAAGGAAAAATTTTTAATTTTTGCTTTTGTTTGACCTCATTCTCACCGGCAATTTGATCTGTCCTATTGTTTAGGCATTCCTTTGCTCATATTAGGACCTATTTCTTTGGGATTCTAACCTAGACCGAAGACCAGCATCTTTCTGGAAATTACCTAGGACTCAGCACCGTACTGTTTTATATATATATATTTATATCTAGCATATATATATATATATATATATATATATATATATATGCTAGATAGATAGATAGATAGATAGATAGATAGATGGATAGATAGATAGATAATCTATCAATTCTGTTCCTTAGTAAACTCTGACTTACAAAGATATCATACATGAACTACAGGATTCTCTGCCTGGATAATGGAATCTGATTTGGACTGGGATTTCAGTCTCTTGAGCTGGGCTTGACCTTGGAATGAATACACTTAGCTTGAGAGAACCATGCCTGTGAATAAAGTAAAACATGTTTTTGAAGCAGTTAGGACAGATTGAAAACCAGAAATCCAATCTGGAACCTAGAAGTGAGAGGTCAGCCTGAGATGTCACAGAATCCAGGACAAGTAAACATCTATCTATCTATCTATCTATCTATCTATCTATCTATCTATCTATCTTTAGGCAATGTCTTGTGTGGCCCAGTCTGGCCTCCAAGTTACTATGTTGCTGAAGCTGAATTCAACTTCTGTATTTTCCTGTTTGGTTTTAGGATTAAAGGTGTGCACCGCCACTGCCACTGGTTTATGCTGTACTTGGAGTCAAACTCAGGACCTCATGAATATTGCACAAGCACTGTACCAACCGCACTATATCCAGAGCCAGACCAGATTTTTAAGAGTCCTCTGTTCCAATGATGGTTATTGTCTCCATTTCGAATCATGAGTTAAATTGCATTATACTCAGGGATTCTGTCCCAAGGCTTCCTTTCCTTTCCAAATCACATTTTCCTTTTCCTTTTCAGATGGAGATAACGTGAACATTCTCCTGTAATAGTTCCTTTTGTTTAGACCCAAGCCACCATGGCACTACTTCCTGATCAAAATCTGATCCGTAAATAGAATCTTTCAGGACAAGTTGTCCATCAGAAGGCAGGTTTTGCCAAGAACAAAGCATGCAAGATGATCACATTTCAAGCTCCAGTTCTGGTTAAAATAGAATTGAAAGCATGCACAAAGTGTCATTTTTAACAAGCAAACCCACCACCACTACCACCACCACCACCACAAACACCACCCCAACTATCACCACCACAAACAACAACAATAACAAATCACCTGTGACTATTTTTGACTGTTAAAGAATACCCCACGTTATAATTTAGTATTGCTAGTAAAGCAACAAAATTGTATTTGTAATATAAGAATATCAGACAATGTGTGCCTATGTCAACAACTTCCAATTATCCAATTATTCCAATCTGTAGAATAGAGCCTGGGATGGCTAACCTAGGTTGTCAACTTGACTTCATCTAAAATCAACCAAAACCCAAGCATCTAGGCATGTCTGTGAAGAGTTTTCTTGTTTGGACCATTTCAAATGGGAAGATCCATTTGAAATCCAGATTATTGGAAGTCAAAAGACCCATCCTAAATCTGTGCCATGGAAGAAATTTTTGCTTTTTTGACTATTTGTCTTCACTATCACTAACAAGCTCATCAACCCTGCTACTGAGACATTCTCTCACTGGTGTTAGTATATTCATCTTCAACATCCCAACATAGTCTGAGTATGGGCTGTGGCATCCAGTCTCATGGGTGAAACAAATACCAGAATTTTTTTCTGTTTCCATTGGTAGACAGCCATTATTGGACTATCCAGGCTACAGCCCGTAAGCCACTCTAATAAGTCATACAAATATTTTATATATGTGTATACATATGTTTTCCTAGGGCTTGTGGCATGCATTCCTGACTTACTGTGCTCCCTTAGGGGAAGTGTTCCTGCACTTCATGTCATGCATGTACACAATGTGTGAATACAGCTGATTCTCAAACAGAAAGTTAAAGGGAAAAAAAAAAGCTTTTTAAAATGTTTGTCATTATTTCTGGTTCTCTTCCTTCTAGATGGGACTTTTCATCTGAAGCCATTTCTCTTTACCCCAAAGACTTTTCTCTCAAATTTCTTGAGGTCCAAGGCAAATTCCCTTAAGTTTTATTTTCCCAAAGATATCTTTAGTTTGCTCTCCTTCATGAAGAATATTTATTCTGGATCTTTCTTTCTTTCTCCCTTTCTCTCTCTCTCTCTCTCTCTCTCTCT